GTCGCAGAATGTGACCCTGGAGGTTTTTGCTGGGGCACCCTGCCGGGTATGGAGACCGTGGGATCCCTCAAGATCGGGGCCGAGTTCTTGTGCAGCAGCCTCGTGCCGAGCCACATGGCCGTGGCCGGGGCAGAGGTGGAGGTAGGGGTCCGCCCAGGACGTCGAGGGTGCAGTTCTCTGCCGTGGGAGAGTGTGTGCCTCTGGAAGGGGGGTAGGAGCAGTGCCGTGGGTTGATACCCCAGGCGTGCACCCCCTGCTTCTGGGGATGCTCTTGGCTTGTGCGCATCCCGCCAACAGGGCGACTTTACCAACAGCACGCCTTCGAGGGTCACCCAGATCCTGTCTTTGAGTGTCTTGATGCCCGACGTGGGTTCTGCGTTCGCAGCGGGCCTCGGATTGCAGTGGACACAGGGTCCCAGGGTTTCGCTCGCTCCTCGCCCATCGCTCGCGGTTGGGGCTCGTTGCTTGGTAGGGCCCCCTGCTCGCGCACTCGCTTCGGCGTCGTTGCCGTGTGCCTCTGGATCCAAGAGCCCTGTGCCGATGGAGCTTCGCTCCGCCGCTGCTGGGGAGCGGCGCCGTTTCGGCTCGGGTTTTGCCTGCGGGCTGCCGCCAGTGCCACTCGTGCAAAGAGGTGCCGAGCAGCTCCAGTGAGCCCCCATTGGCGTTTACCTAACGGCCTCTGGCGTTTACTAGACAGCCATGCCCTCTTCGATCCCCTCTGGGGTGCGTTTGCCGAACGGCTTCATGTGTCGGGGTTGATCATCACGGGGGTTGATTTTCTGCCTTCTAAATTCCTCCCCACGTCGACCGTCATCGGGTTCCGCGCGGGGCCCCCCCGGCGGCGCCTCTGGCGCCACCGTTGGCGCGCGGAACGCGCCAGGGAAGGGCGCCCAGCGCATACCCAAGGAATGAGCGGGAGGCGCCAAACATTTATGTCTGCGCCGTTTTTTCGCCTTCTCAGTTCCTCCCCGCGTCGACCATCCTCGGGCTCTTCTGAGGCGCCGCCGCCGCCGCCGCCCGTATTGGGCGCTCGGTGTGCCATTCCGCATAAAGAAGGGGCGCCGCAAGGGGCGCGGCGCCGTCCGCCTCTCCACCACTGGCGCCAGCCCGGAACACCTTCCGGCGCCTGCGATTTTGCACCGGCTCCTTGCGGTGCCGATCTCAAGGTTCAGTCGGGCCCGTCCTTTTAATGTCCCAAACCGGTAAAACAAATGATGACCCCCCCCCTTCCCCTCCCCGGATCCCGACTGCCATGAATTCGCCTCCGAATCACTGCTACTTGTATATACTTCGGTACCAGGGAGCATGCCGATGTGATATTGTAGCTTGGTGTAGCCCCTCATGTCTAGGCATGGAGGGCGCGCCGGCCCTCGTTGTAACCTGGTGTAGCCCCGCTTGCGTGACCCAGAGGGGGGAAGGCCTTCATTGTATCCTGGTGTAGCCCCGGAAATTTGGCCCAGAGGGCGGTGCGACCTTCGCTGTAACCTGGTGCAGCCTTGGTGCGGCCTCGAACTGAGCGGCTTGCTGAGGGCCTTTCTGGCCTGGAGGGCGATCTGGCCTTCGTTGTAACCTGGTCTAGCCCCTCTCCTGTCCTGTTGCATAATGCATAATACTATAATCACATGTCGCCGGTCTGATGAGGCCATCTTCAGCCAACTTTGACCATATTGGGCCATCTTGGAAGCCATCTTAAAGCATTTGTGGCCCCCTCGGCACCAGAGGGCGTGCGCAAGGGATGGTCCCCAAGTGCGGTCTCTTTCCACGCCAGGTGTCAGGTGTGGCTTGTTCGCAACCCAGACAGGGCGCGCGGTGCGCAGGGAGTGGTCCCTGAGCGCAGTCTCTATCCACGCTGGGGTCGCAGAGCGTGGCAGGCGTGGCCTGACGCCGAGAGGGGGTGCGCAGGAATCTGCCCCTGCACGCAGGGCGCCAGGGCGGTCGCGGGGACGTCTCCAGCGATCCAGTTTGCCCCGCCTCTCTTTTGTTTTCCATAGGCGTTCTACAGCGCTGGGGAAAAAACATGTTTTGATTGTCTCCCCAAATATGTTTGTTTTGTTTTCAAACAAAAAACAAGTTTTTAGATACCACTGGCGGAATATTCAAAAATACTTCAAAAAGTCAGGGGGGGGTTCTTTGGCTACTTTTGGCCTTGCGGGGGTATTTTTGATTATTTTTTAATTTTTCGTCCAGACTCGGCCCGTAGGGGGACAGGCCCGACTTAATCTGAAGGGTCCGCGGCGGCCAAGGGGGGTGAGGACTAGGGGGAGGGTGGACATCATGGCGGGGGCCAGGATGCCTCCCCAGATTTCACGGCGCCTCTTTTCGTGTCAGTGCGTTCCCTGGCCCCCTCCTCCCTGGGCCGCGCACGCGTCGCCAGCCATGATCTGCGCCCCCCCTCTTCTGGACGCCCCCATATTGGCCGCTCCCGATCATCTCGGTGCCGATCTTCAGGAACCCCCTAATCGAAAATTGGAACATATACAGTAAAAGTGGCAGGCAGCTTTTTAATCCCAGGACTTGTTTGAGGGTCGGGGACGATGTCGGGGTGGTGTGGTGTATACGTTTTTCCACCGCTTTTCTGGGGAAGCAAAGAATATACACCAGGATCTCATATACACCAGGATCCGCTTTCCCGTGCGAGATTCAGTGTGGGGCCAGACAAGGGCGTCGGTGTATAGAGTTCGGTCCCCTACTTAGTTTTCGAGGGCGCATTCCCAAGATTGTCCTCGCCTCTGGGCCTGTCAATCTCAGGGGCATGGAATGCGTGCAAGGCTGGTTGCCGCCGGCCTGGGTGGGCGCCCCGATGGGGGGGGCGTCTACTCAGGAAGGGGAAAAACACAGACACAATTAATCGTCGATCCACCAGAAAATATGGGAAGAGATGGGAAGTGGGGGGAAGACAGAAACCCAGAACATATAGGAAAATACGGGGAGTCTGGTTCTTTGTGTCTATTTATTTCTGTGTCCCAGTTTCCTTTCACCTAGAGGGCACCCGGGGCAGTCCTCACGGGCAGGCGGCTTGGGGCGAGTCGCCGCGGCTCCGAGCCGGGGATCGGTGGAAGAGAACGTGCCCATACCGCTACCCATCGGTCGGTGAAATTATGTATGTTTGGATTCCCAAGTTCCAATCTATTTTCGGCGCCTTCCTACTTCAATGACCGAGTGGCTGTATCTTTCCCGTCCTCCTCAGGGGACGGGCGGACACCCACAATCTATGTTCAACGCCTTCCTACTATATGTTTCTACCTGTTTCCTCTGACCGATGGGTAGCCATGCTTCGATTTCGTTGTTTGGGGCCTCCTGGGAGGCCCTCGTCGCCATTGCTGGATTCACTGCAAAATTCTGGTCAGAGCATGTCAGATCGCATTCCGAAAGAGGTCTGGGGAGGAGCGGTGTCGGTATGCTTTGGCTCCGTCAGGGGAATTGTCCATAACCACCGCTTGGGGGATCAATTTTCGGGGGCCTCGGCAGGCGACGGATGCGGTTAGATATTCGGGCACATCGGGGCCGGAGTCTATACATATCCACCGCCCGCTTGTGTCCCATGACATCGGTTCCACAGGCGGTGGAGGCTGACATGGAAATGGAGATATCAGTACTTATACACCTGTCATATGCGTACACACATATATATATATATATATATATATGTGTGAGTGTGTGTATGTGCGTTCGACCAATATTGGCCCCACAGACTCAAAAAGTGTGCATGTGCGTGCGTGTGCCCGCCTCGCAGTGCCCCCCCGTGGCGATAAGCAGAGGGACAATATGGTATGACGATGGTGATTATAATGCTGATGCTGCTGATGATGATGTTGATGTTGATGATACTGATGCTGATGTTAGTGCTGATGCTGATGATGATGTTGATGATGTTGATGACGACGATGGTGATGATGCTGATGATTATGATGATGATCATGGTCACGATGATGACGACGACGAGCATGATCATGATCATGACCTTGCTGATGCTTCAGATGATGCTGGCGATGCTGCTACTGCAAATGATAAAGCTAACGCTGCTGATGATGGTGGTGATGATGATGATGATGATGATGCTCACGATGATGATGATGATGATGATGATGATGATGATGATGACGCTGCTGCTGCTGATGATGTTCATTATTATTGTGATGGTGGTGGTGGTGGTGGTGATGGTGGTGATGATGACGACCGTGGCGATGATGACAAGGAGTACGAGTAGTAGTAGGAGGAGGAGGAGGAGGAGCAGGAGGAGGAGGAGGAGGAGGATATATTCCATGACTTCAAGAGTCCCGTGGTTTCGAAGATTTCCTGATCGTCCACACGGGCTGCATGCACGAGGGTCGCTAGGCACCGCGTTACTCTTGGTGCGTAGCCTCGTGGCCTCGCGGGGTGGTCTCGGGGCACCTTCTTGGGGGGCGCCAGTCCGGTGGTGCTGGGGCACTCTTTGGCCGTGTGTGGGACCTCTTATGCCGCTCCTGCTCCTCCTCCTCCTCCTCCTAATTGGGTGCAAGGAGCTCTCGCGGGCGCGTGTTCCTCGCTGCTGCTCCGAGTGTCTCTGGGACTCGAAAAAAATACTCACTGCGTGGAGCTCCCCATATGTGCATCTCATGTTTTATGCCATGCCGTGGTGAGCGTCTGTTCATGAGCGGTCGACTACAATAGCGCGTCCACGTGGGCGACAGGGCCGACGAAGACGAGTGACCCCTAATGCGAGTGATTGCGTATGAGTCAGAGTGAGCTTTGAGTATGGTTGAATGCGAGCCTCTTCCTCTTCATCCCCCCTCCTCAGCTGCCAGGCCTTCCCCTTTTCAGCCCGTGGTAGCTTTGGAGCTTCCCACATGTGCATATGTTGTAGGATAGTTGGCAGTGGGATATGTAAGACGAGCGTTTAGCCACACAAGGCCATAAGTGCATGTCATGTTGGAGGATAGTGCCACGGTGAGCATTCCCAACGATCCCCGCACACAACCACCGCCCCCCCTCGCAGTCACCCCCTATGAAACATATATATATATATATATATATGTATATATACACATGTCCTGGACTTCGGAATCAACGTTTTGCTCGCGTCAAGGACTTTCGAGCAAAGCGCCCTCCTCCTCCTCCTCCTCCTCCTCCTCCTGTTCCTCCGCCCCCTCCCTTCTCCTGCTCCTGCTCCTCCTCCTC